TAAATGATGTTTTTGTCCGACTCTGACTATGCATATGTGATTTATGAAAGACAAGCAGGAATAAAAGAGGAAGACTTAGATGCTGTTCCATTTCCCTCTTCTGTAGCTGATGTAGGAAGGCCTCTCTGGCCTCCCTGCAGGTGGGGGCACTGTGCAAGCTGGAGGAATCTCTTATCTGAGGGGGTGAGGCCAGGAGGGGACCCCCAAGGCTGTGCTACTTGGGGCTAGGGTGCCACATCCTGAGGATAAGGTGCGGCCAGAGCTCAGGATTCTTGAGAAGCCATTTGCTCTGAAATTACAGACATACCGGCAATGGGAAAAGGCCTTGCAGTCCAGCCTCAAATAACCAGAGGCTTTCTTCCTTTTTAAAATACTCTAAACCTTCTTTTCCCAGGTTACCTGAGACCTCCAGACCTCTGTATGACTCTGGGACTGGATTCTGTAGGGTCTTAGTTGCCTTACTGGTTAAAACAAAAGTCTTAGGAAAAGAGTCTCTCTGCCCTGCCGCACCCCGTCCTGTAGAATCAGTGGGAGCCCCAAGATCCTCCTCTGCATCCACAGCGTCCCTCAAATTGAACTTGAAAGTCCTTGAGGCATCCTCCCCACTTTGCTGAACCTCAGGCCCCTTGGGGCTCTTTATTTGGGGGCTTAAATACTGTTCCTGAGTTGTAAAGGTGAAGCCAGTGAGGCCTAAAACCCAGGCCTGGCTCCCCACTGCGTGACTTCACAGTTCCAGCTGAATCAACTCACTTTTCCTGGTCGTACTTCCTGCATCAGTTAAATGAGGTGAAATACCTACCAGATGTGATTTGGGGGCAAATAAATGAGATCATGGCTATAAAAATGCCTGCAGTATGTGCCCAACAGGTCCCTGACTGCCTTCACGTAGCAACAGACGCTTCCCATTAACTGGGCACCTACCACGGGTCAGGCCTTGTGCTGACAGTGTCGGGTGGTCTGTGCCTTAATCCTCACAGAACTCTTCCAGGCAGGTCGTGCTATTATTATCTCCCACTTATAGGTAAGGAGAGCGGAGGCTCGGAGTTGGTGCAAGCCTCCCGTGGTCACCCAGACTGTAAAAAGCAGAGATGGGTTCAGGACCAGGCAGTTTCTGGCCACAGTGTAAGCACCGTGCAGCTTCTAACCACCAGGCAACACTGCCAGCAGCACACGCCTGGCCTTCCACTCCTAGGACCCGGGCCGAGCTGCTTTCCCGGGGTGGATTCGGCCTCATGCCCCAGCCCAGCTGCACGGTGATCAAGATGTGGCAGGGTTGATGGGAACCTGAGGATGGTGAGACTGAACTAGCCAGATGGCTCCAACAGAGCTCAAGCCCCCAGCTCGGGCCATGCAGACCTCGTGTGAACTCAGGAGAGTCAATTTACCTTTTGAGCCTTTTCCCTCATCATGCAAAATGGGCACAAGCACACGCATCTCGTGTGTCCCACAGGAGTGGAAAGTGCTGGGTAAAGCAGGCAGCCCTGGTGTCATTCAGGCACGGCTCTTGGTGGTCAAGGCTGGGCTTGGGCTCATGTTGATGAGGAGGCCCAGGGCCGCTGGCAGTCGCCCTTCCGCACCCTCGCGATGGCTTCCGCTCTGGGGGAGCTGTGTGTTTGCCCTGCACACGCGTGTTCACAGTTTCTGCTAAATTCGAACAGAAATAAGACAGGGCCTCGGAGCTGTGGGGGAGTCCTGGCTCTGCTTGGCAGCCACTGCAAGGGCAGCTTTATTTCCAGGCTGTGGATTAGAACCACCTAGAAGAACCATCCAGGGAGCTGTTTGGAGGATTGGAAAGGCAGTTTTTCCCCTCAATAAATTTCAAATTAGTAGACTCGAAAACTCACAGGGGCTTCTATAGTCCAAACAAAACAGTTTCTGTTTAACAGAATTACATTCAGGTTTTTTGTTTTTTAATTAAAAAAATATGTATAGGTAAAGGAATAACACTGAAGGTTTTTAAATCCCATAATGTTGGAGAAAATAAAAAAGACACCAATCTTTTTTTTTCCCATTGCACCTTTATTTTTTACTATGTTCACTGTTCAGAATTTTCATACAGTCCTTCTAGAATCACACAGAACCTGTTAGATAGCTCCCTCTTGCTGACATCCGTTTTACTTCTTGTCCCTTGTCCTTATTTATATAATATTCTGCCAGTGTGGAAGGAGTTCCCAGGGGTCGTCCCTTTTTACAAGGGAGGTGTGCAGAGCTGTCCCTCCCAAGTGGCTTTTCCTGTGACTTTTCCACCTCCCCATTTCCTCTCTTCCCCAGCAGCCTCCAGGCCCTCACTGGGCTAAGGAATCAGACAGATCAGGATCTCCATCCTGGCTCCACTACTAGTCACGTGATCTCGGGGATGTTTCCTGATCTCTGAGCCCTCCTTTCTTCTACAGTGTGGGGGAAGGACTTAAGGTTCTTCAAGTGTCTGGAACAGTGCCTGGTACACAGTATGCCCTAAATACACCTCAGCTTCCTTCCTTCTGGCAGGGAAGAGATGGTATCTGATGAATCAATGTCAGAGCCAGGTGCTCAGGAACATTAGCTTTACAAAAGAGCCTGATCCCTTAGTAGAGCCCAATAAAGGACTTTCTAATGGAATTTCAGACCCCATAGCATGGGGGACGGGGAGATGTGGAGGCAGAGACCTTGATATCACTTGAGCAACCAGAAGGCAGAGTGCTACTGCTTCTGCCCACAGCCAAGGCTGGCACCGGTGGAAGTAACAGTGACCCACTCTTCAAGGCCACGCCACTGCTGCCAGGCAAGGGCTCGCTTCAGGGAGCTGGAAGAACAGAGCAAATTCATATGTATTCAACCATCCCTGCCAGGGAGGAAGTAGCTTCATGTGGGTGTAAACCAGGAGCTTTAAGAAGCACAGCAATCCTTTAGGGCAATCATCAGATCCCCTTCTAGTGCTATCAAAAAGTCACCTGTCTCGGGGTGTCCTCACAGCCTGAATCACCATGAGCTCTCACAGTGCAGAGTTTACATGTTATTCACAACCCACCTACATTTGAAGAGGATCCCAGGCATCTTGCTAAGTTAAGAATTATGCACCTAATGCAAGTTTCCCCCTTGTTCTTCCCATCTCTCATAGGACACGGCCATTAAAATCAAAATCTGATAAACAAATGGTCACAAGAATGAAATAAGTAATAATGCAACCAGCAAGAAGCTGAATATTCTGTCCAATGGTAGATCTGTAAATAATACAGCCACGCTCTTCTTCCTCAACGGTAGTCTTTTTTTTTTTTTTTTTTTTTAAAGCTGATCTGTCACTCAGCCCTTGTTCATGCATAATTCTCAGTAAAGGTAAGGTGCATCCAGGGTCTGCATGCCCACGATCGTTTTATATCTCCAACGTAACAACAAAAAGCCACTCAACAGACAATCTTAAAACATGCACCAACTAAGACCGTGGCTGGTATTATGGAAAAATATTTTCCAGACCAGAAAGAGAGCGAGAGAGAGAGGGACAGGGAGAGAGCGCACACAAAGGTAAAAGATTCAAGATGAGACAAGGATTGGAATGGCCACACACAGGAGCATCTGCAGTCAGGGGACAAAGCAGATAAAACAAGGAAAGCTCTGTGGATCCAGGAGAGCCTCTCCAAATATTTGGTTCATGCTAAAAAATAGAGCACATTTATTAAAAATATATATTTATAAACCTTGATATGAACAGATACACACGTCAAGCCAATGAAAAAAGAAAAATAAGTTATCTCCCTGGTATCAAATAGTTAGACACTTTTGATGAATGGGATGCCTGTCAAAGACCTGCCCCTGTGGTTTTTCGAACTAAACAGCTCACTGAGTTGAGACGAAACACTTGTCTTGGGAGACACACGGCCGGGCCATGTCCAACCCATTCATCTTTTCAAATATGTGACATCCGTCAGCGATCTGGGATAAAGAATTCCTGCACCCATCCGCTCACCGATGGCGTCCAAGGCTGCTCTTCCAAGCGTTCTTTCAGGTCCCCCGCCAAGGACGTTGAGTTCCTTGTGGTGTGAATGAGTTCTGTTGGATTCATTGTGCTTTAGCGACTGCTCCTTGCAGCAGGATTGGTTGATTTTTGTGGCCTTTTATAAAGTTTGAAGGTGCATTTGATTGAGCGGTGTGTGTAGGTCCAGCCTGCTTGTTCTCGCAGGGTCCAGTCACTGAGCTCTTGATGCACAGGACTGCCGTCTTCCGGGCCATTCACAGAGTGGTGTATATGTAGACAAATATGATGACGATTAGGTTCAGAATGGTCCCGATAATCCCCAGCATTGCCAAGATGCTCTCTTCTTTACTTTCTTTTTCTTGGCCTCCTCTGTCTTCATCATTTCCACTCGTGATTACCATCTTGGTTGCAAATGTCTTTATCTTCCTCACCAGGCTAACCTGTAATTGGAAAGAGGCAGCACAAAAGATTATCATTTATGAGCATCCTCTCTATAGCCAGGCAGATCTGCTGGGGGTTGCAATTTCATGCTCGGGGACTAGACCACAGGTGGGGGTAACAAATTACACATCGATCCAGTCTGAGGACACATTACTTTTGGAGAAACAGCAGAACACGGCTTATCAATTTCAGGGACAAACGTCCTGACAGTGGCATAAAGATGTGAGCCCGGAAGTCCAGCCTGGGCACGACCCACTTTGTTGAGCTTTTTCCCTCCTTTCTCTTGAAGCAGAAACTGCAACAGCTGCAAAGCTGTCAAACGGAGACACATGTGCTCCCCCATGGCGGCAGGAATTCTACACACTTCCATTTACTGGATCTCATCCAAGAAATGCGTTGTCCTGTGTATTCACAAAGTGTGTAGTGGGTATCACAGTCCCACCCTTTCTGAAGTGCTGGCTGCAGAATGGGGGGAGGGGTGGACGGGACCTAGGGAAGGGGATTTGCTGAGCCCAAGAGGATGGCAAGTGTAGATGGGGCAGCACCATGAGAAGCCCTCATAACCTCGGGCAGGAATATAGATTGATACAATTACTCTGGAAAGTTCCTTGGCGTTACCTAGAAAAGTGAAGAGGCACATATTCTACAGCTGGGCACCTGCTCCCCCGATGTACACCCTAGAGAGAGCCTCGCTTCTGTGCACCCGGAGACGTGGACAGGAGCACTCTGACAAGCTTCACTCACCACAACAGAGGACTGGAAGCCATGCAGATGTGCGCCAGGGGGAGGGTGGATGAACACGTGGTGTAGACCCGTACAATGCAATATTACACGATGGCAAATGAATTAACTACGGCTGCACATGGCAACACGACAGAGCCCAGACACTTGATGGAGAGGGGAAAAGCATGTCGCAGAATAATATGTAGAGGATGATCCAATTCATAAACACTCAAAACAGGCAAAACCAAATAATATATTGTTTTAGAGACGTTCACTTTGATTACTGTAAAAAGCAAAAACGTGATGAGCACAACAATTTAGGAGAGTGGCTTCCTCCAGGCCAGAGTGGAGTGGGATGCCATGGGGAGGGGCACCGATGGCCTTCGGAGACACTGGCCGTTTCCCTGTTTAGCTCAGAGGTGGGTATTTGGGTATTCGTTTTTATCATTACCCTTTAAACTGCAGATATATGTTTCAGCTCTTCTTTTACATATATTTTGCAATAAACAAAATAATTTTTTACTTTTTAAGACAGAAAACATGGCCATCCAGGAAGCATGGCGGGCAGCTGAAACCTTCTTTCCACCCATTGCTAATCTAAACCATATGTAAAAAGCGGCCCGTGTGTGTGTGTGTGGTGGTGGCAGCCTGTCCACTTGAAGGGATGGCCCCCTGGTACGCTCCTCCATTAGAGAGCTGTGCCTTTAGGGACAGAAGGCTTTTCATGCTTCAGGGTTGGGAGGGTTGTTTTACATGCCAACTTGACTGGGCCATGGGGTTCCCAGACATTTGGTTAAACATGATTCTGGGTGTGTCTGTGAGGGTGTTTCTAGATGACAGTAACGTTTGAATTGGTAGACTGAGTGAAGCGGATGGTCCTCCCAATGTGGGTGGGTCTTGTCCCATCAGCAGAGGGCCTGAATAGAAAACAAACGGCTNAGGCAGCTGAAACCTTCTTTCCACCCATTGCTAATCTAAACCATATGTAAAAAGCGGCCCGTGTGTGTGTGTGGTGGTGGCAGCCTGTCCACTTGAAGGGATGGCCCCCTGGTATGCTCCTCCGTTAGAGAGCTGTGCCTTTAGGGACAGAAGGTTTTTCATGCTTCAGGGTTGGGAGGGTTGTTTTACATGCCAACTTGACTGGGCTATGGGGTTCCCAGACATTTGGTTAAACGTGATTCTGGGTGTGTCTGTGAGGGTGTTTCTAGATGACAGTAACGTTTGAATTGGTAGACTGAGTGAAGCGGATGATCCTCCCAATGTGGGTGGGTCTTGTCCCATCAGCAGAGGGCCTGAATAGAAAACAAACGGCTGACATCCCGAGAGTAAGAGGATTCCTCCCACCTGACTGCCTTCAAGCTGGGACATTGGCTTTTTCCTGCTTTCAGACTTGAACTGTTGAATTTTAGTCACCTTTTTCTGAGTCTTGAGCCTGTGGGCCTCCAGCCTGGATCTACGCACTGGTGGCTCTCCTGGGTTTCCTGCAGCTGACTCCCCTGTAGATCTCAGGACTTGCTGATCTCCAAATCACACGAATCCATTCCTTATAATAAATCCATTTGCATATATATGATATACATACTGTGTATCTCACACACACACACACACACATATATCTCCTTTTGGTTCTTTTTCTCTGGAGAACCCTGACTAATGTAGGGGTCAAATGATATCTCAGGGCCAATATCCAGGACAGATCACAAACGGGAATCCAGGAAGGTGGGAGTGTGTCTGAAAAATGCACGTGAACAGAGGAAAAGGGCTGGGTCGTGCTTTGCAGATCAACTCATGATTTGGAAACAGAATATACAAATAGATGTCTGTATGAAAGAGAGACAAGCACATCAGCAAGACTGGAGGAAATAATGCAACATGAATGTGGGCATTAATGAACAAATGAACGTCCTAAAGGTAAGTTTCATTTCCTTACCGCCTCTGGCTTACTAGTTAGGCTTAGAGTGGGTTCCTATTCTCATAGCTCAGCTGGGAAAAGCATCTAACTGGATTTGTTTCATTTTCTTGCTTTTTTGCCCCTCCGGTATACTTGTAATGGTATGCGATGAACATACAGAAAAGTGCACAAACTTTAAGCATACAGCTTGATACATTTTCACACCTGTTTAACTAGCACCAAGATCAAGAAACAGAACTTTCCAGCATCCCAGTGGCTTCCCATGGTGCCCCATCTAGTCCTATTCCTTCCTCCTGAAAACCCTTTTCATGACTTCTAACACCACAGATTGGTTTTGCCTGGTTTTGAATGTCATATAAATGGAATCATACAGAATGTCCTCTTTTGAGTCTGATTTCCTACCCCCAACACTATGTTTGTGAGATCCGCCCGTGCTGTTGTGTGTGGCTATTGCTCATTCGTTCTCATGTGTGAACACCATTCCATCATATCAATACACATACAATTTTTGCATCCATTCTGCTGCTGATGGGCATTTGAGTTGCTCCGAGTTTGGGGTTATTATACGAATAATGTTGCTGTGAACATTCTTGCACGTGTTTCCTGGCAAACAT